GTCGCTTCTGTGAACATAGAACTGAGATTTTCAAGCAACATGTGGAGCATCAAAACCATCATCGACTTCTGAGCAATCAAAAATATTGCGGTTTTAATGGTTGTCAAATGAATTTTAAAGATGTCACATGTTTAAGATTACATACTATCAGAAATCACACGAAGCTACGCGAAATTTATTATGAAAAAATATCTAAAAGGGTAATTAATGAAGATGGCAAATTCCTATGTACCGTTCTCGTATGTAGAAAGCAATTTTATAATTATCAAAAATTTATCAAACATTTAAAGGAACATATGAGAAATGGTGAAAATGTCAAATGCCCAATCCGAATATGTGAAAAAAAATATAATTTAGTGAATTCATTTACAAGTCATCTGTCGAAATGTCACCGGAATAGGTCGTGTATGCTTAACAACGTAGGGGAGAGTGGGGCAAAATGGGGTAGGAGGGTCAAATGGGGTACCTCTGTTTTTCCATGATAGGTACTTTTAATTTTTTTTCCCTCGACATATATCATTCATGTTGATAAGAAACTGTTATTAATTATGAAGACACTCCAAAGAAAATTTTTTTTTGAAAGTTATACAACTTTTAAGTTTTAAGCAAAAAAAATATGAATTTTTTTCAAAATTAAAGTGCTCTCCAAACTTTTTGGGATAATGCATTTAATTTGGCAAGTGTGGGATCTTTTTCAGTACTTATTCTAGAGTAATTTCCAATAGAATAGATTGTTTAATTGTTTACAATAACTTAGAAACATTGCATTTTGTTTTAATATGCAGTGTGGGGCAGAATGGGGTACCTAAGTGTGGGGCATGCCGGAAGCTACGCCGTTTCATTAAAACTATTTAAAAACATTATATTATGCATATTTAAAGGTTTCCTGCAGAAGAATCAATATTTTTGTTTGGAAACTTATACCATCGATGTTTCATTATCGATATATCGATATTTTGCAATATGGATGTTTTTTTGTTAAATTCCAATAAATATTACTTGTTTTTTCATAATAATAAAGAATCCTACTTTTTGTTTGTATTTATAATCTCATACAACAAGAATTTAATGAATTTTGAAAAAATACTCAATGTTTTGTATAGTTATTTGATGCCACCCCATTTTGCCCCACGGGTGGGGCAAAATGGGATTTTAGCACTTTCTTAGAAAATACGATATAAGTTCTTTCAAAAATTTTTTTCTCCGCTATTATCATAATTTCCTCAAAGCTAAGTGTACAAAGAAGAATTCTGAAGTTTAGCTGAATCGATTTATTCGTTTGGTTCTCTGTAAACAGCCAATTTCAAAAAGGTACCCCATTTTGCCCCACTCTCCCCTAATTGACAACAGTGAATCAATGGAAGATATAGATGAACAAAATATGAACCAAGATGAAATTTGCAGTACGGAGGGGATTAAGAAAAATGATTGCTTTGAAAGTGTCTATTTAAATGATGAAGAGCTCGAGAACAGCAATGCTTTAAAAGATAACAAAATTAATGAAATTAATTATGCTTGACTGTTTTTAAAATTAGAAGCAGAATTATTAGTACCTGCATCTACTATTGATAGCAATTATAAGCGGAAACTATTTTACAAAACTAATTTATCGTATGTGAAACCGGTACGTATATCGCTAGGTTCTGTTAACGGTCATTCGGCTCATTTTTATTACGTGCCAATTCTTGAAACTTTAAAAGCAACGTTTAAAAGTAAATCATTTGATATAAATTTAAATATGAATACAAATAATGGCGATTTATTAAAAGACTTTTCTGACGGGTTCATGTATAAATCTAATAAATTTTTCTCTAACCTAACTGAATCACTTTCTCTTATTCTGTATCAAGACTCTTTTGAAATTGTGAATCCAATTGGATCAGCTCGCAAAAAACATAAGATTCTTGCAGTTTATATGATGTTGGGAAATTTACCTTATTATAATCGCTCAAATATAAATAATATTCAACTCGTTCTTCTTTGTAAAGAAAAAGATTTCAATCATGCAAAAGTGTTCAGAAGACTTATCAAAGATTTGCAAAAATTGGAAAGGGAAGGCGTCGAAATTTATCCTAATAAATTTGTTAAAGGCTCTGTTATCTTCATCGCAAATGATAACTTGGGAGCTCATGGTATTGGAGGTTATGTTGAAAATTTCAGCAAGAGTGAGGACTTTTGTAGGTACAGCTTCATTACTAGATCAAAATTTTTAAATCAACAAAATAAAAATGGAAACTCTAAAAAAGAAGTGCAAAAAATGGAAGAAGAAGAGGCTGAAACTGTTCTATTCCAAGAAGTGGAAATGGAAACTGAAAATGGAGATGAAAATAAAAATGAAGGTGAGAATGATGAAGAAGAAGAAGAAGAAGAAGAAGAAGAAGAAGAAGAATTAAATTAAGTGAAATTGTTGAACTTGTTTGTGCGCCGGAAATACATGTGTCATACATTTCTTTCTTAGAAGATGCCATTAATCATTACCTTGGTCTAAGAACGAACTTATTTCCTACAATCAAATTGCTTCCAAAACATCATTATTTGATTCACTATCCTGAAGTAATACTGGAATTAGGTCCTGTAATGAAATTGTTTACTCTAAGGTTTGAGAGTAAGCACACGTTTTTCAAAAGAGTTATGAGAAACATAAAGTGTTTTAAAAATGTAACTTTATCATTAGCAGAAAAGCATGAACTTCTTCAATGCCTGCTACGTACAGGTGCGGGATTAAAATATGAATTACAGTTGAATGAAGAAACTACGTTTCATATCAATCGATATTGCACTGAATTAAAAAAATCTATAGAAAATGCTCTTGGAAACAGTGAAATTACAGAATGTTCAAGTGCTTTTTTTAGAGGGAAAAATTACCAGAAAGGTGATATATTGGCAATACGTCAACATGCATATCAGTATAGAGTAGAAATGGGAAGAATTGCACTTATTTTGTGTAACAGTCAAAGATGTCTTTATTTCGTAGTAGAAGTTTTAAGAACTACATTCGAACCAGGGCTTAGACTTTATGAACTTGGGTGTTTTGAACGATATGAGTGTATCCCATATGACAAGTTACTTGATTGCGAACCGCTTACTATTTACAAGCAAAATACCAAATCGTTTGTTAAAATTAGGCATGGACTTGTTCGAAGCCAGCTTAGTGTATAGATGCATAACAAAAAACTGGAAAACATATAATTTAAAAAAATACTTTATTATAAAATAGGAAGGCAAATATTTTTGTAAATAAAAATTATTAATTCTTTAAATTTATTTAAAATAGAAAAGTCTTAATTAAAAGCGCTTTAAATATGTAAAATTTATATAACCTAGTAAATTAATAATTATTTTGTTATCTACTATTTTTGATAAAAAAATTTTTTTTGTAAAAATCTTCAGTACACCATGCATATTTTCAAAATTACTGGACCAGAACGAGGAAAAGCAATTATCATTCCAGCTATAGATAAGGAGGATTTAATATTGACGGCTTGTACTCGACTAAATCTTCCTTTGGAGCAAATGTACCAGGTATAGATTATATATGTACAAATTATTTTTAATATTATATCTTACGAATAAAAACTTTTAAATTTTCTTGCATTATTTTAAAAATGTTGTATAATTTTAAGTTGTCAATATTTTTATTTACAGATTCTAATTCTTATAATTGTTTTGCAAATTGTTCTTGAAAATGACGGTTCAGTTATTGAGGAATTTAAAGTTTTGAGTGAAATCGCAAAAAGAACAGACATGGTCAAATTCATGATGCTACCTGAAGGAATGGCATGGGCTAGTCCAAATTCTGTTTCTAGTGACAGTGGACAGTCATCTGTAAATGGTAAGATACATTTAATATACATACAGTATACATTGATTAAATCGTGATACGAAATTCTAAGATGTTTCTAAAACGTAACACCAATTACTTTATCAGGATCAACAAACGAAAACTCACTCCAAAACAGCTGTCTCGATTGTCAAACTACGCACTCTGCAATTGAAGACCCAAAATTTTCAGCACCGATTATTTGGGAAGAAATAATACCGAAAGGTTTCAAAAATTCAGCGGAAAATTCCAGTATGACTGTTCGAAAATTAATTCACCGAACTGCAGATTACATGACGTCAACTTTAAAATCAACAAGCTATGTGGAAACTCTGAGGATAGTAAAAAAAATTGTAGAAAGGTACCCAAAAGCATTTGAAAAAGTAACATGGAAAAATGGACACATTTATTCAGATGGAATTCATGAATTGAGGACCGTAATCTATGATAGGCTGAAGTAAGTATGGAAAAAAATTCTTTTGTAAAATAATTTTTAATTAATTCTTACTCGCATGTTAGCACGCTTGTGAACACTAAAAAATAAAGTAATCTCTTAAGTGACTTATTTTCACTTACGAATATCAAATTTTTTAAATTATTCAATCACATCAATTAATTGACAAATAATAAATTTATTAAATATTTAAGGTACCAAAACAAGCAATCATCAACAAAAACCAAAAAAAGAAGTTCCGTGGAAATTGAAGACAGTGATGCGCCTGGAAGCGTTGCAAATAAAAAGATAAAAATTACCAGATACGGGAAAGGCCAGGATTGCTATGGGTGTGTGGCCTTCGAACCCCCTTTAACAGAAAATGACACAATAGAAAACCAGAAAGAGAAAAAAAATCAACTGCTCAAATACTTTGAGGAAGACTGTGACACAATGCTTGTTACTGATTTATTAGAACAAACATATCCGTCACAAAGAAGATGTATCAACCACAGGGAAGAGGAAAACATAAAATTACAGGACATTTTAACTAACCATTGGCCATACTTAACAAAAGAAAAATATTTTATCGATCATGCTGATGTTCTTTTGGGAAAAAAAGTTCAAGATGTTTGGAATACAAATTTACAAAAAAAATCTGAAAGTATTGTCTCGTACTTTGAAGGTATCATCTTTCAGCATCGTAAGACAAATAATATTCCAGGATATGTAAAGAAAATGAAAGAGATTTCAAAATCTTATAAATAAATAGAAAAAGAGGTGGAAAGCAGAAAACCTTCTGCATTAGCCATTCTACCTCTAATAGCCTGCCAATTTAAAGAAGAAGAGCTTTTCACTCTTAAGGTGTGTATGGACGGAAAATGTATACAAACAAATTTAATAAGTTGTGCACTGTAAAAAGAAGTGTGTTACTGGAATGCACTTCAAGTGCAAAAATTTGTCCCAGTTCTGAACACACTTTGAGTGCATTATTCTCATGCACTTTGACATCAAAGTGTATAATTTCAATGCACTTTGAAGTGCATAAAATATAAAATGGATAAGAATTACACACTTTGACGTCAAAGTGAATGAGAATAATGCACTCAAAGTGTGTTCAGAACTGGGACAAATTTATGCACTTGAAGTGCATTCCAGTAACACACTTCTTTTTACAGTGTGTGCATTACCGGTTTAGTATGTGTATTATACATATTCGAAATATTAATAAATTTTTTCTTTTTCAGGATTCTGTTGCAACAGAAGAAGAAATAAAACATGCTGCTAAAGATTCTACACGGCCATCATTAATTATTACAGGTATATTTGATTCAGTAACATTAACTTATCATTACAAAATATAAAATTTAATTTTTAGTTAACTTTAATATAATGGATTATTGCTTATTTTTCAGGATCCTCCTTATATGATGAAGCATGCAAATGCTATATAGTCGTTGAGGAAAATATTGTCTTAAAATCTAATGACGTATTAAAGGGTGTCTTATTGCTGCTTCTTACTTATTACGTATATGGCTATAACTATCCAACAAAAAAGGCTGCTTCTTTTAATTTTATTCAACGGTAAATTATTTATTTTATTTTTCTAAATTTATTTTATTATTTGATTGAAGTTCAATTTAATAACAGTTTTTATTTGTCTTTTATAGGATGTTGCTGGATGTTAATCCTGTGGAGCGGCATAAAAGTATTAAAACTTCTAAAAAGTCGGGCACCTTAATTAATAATATTATCGATAATTATGAAATATTAATAAGTTAGTATAATAAATTGTACTTCTGAAGGTGTTAATAAAAAATTGTAAAATTTATAGATTTTGTGGTATTTCTGGTAATAATATAAAACAAGTTGTTCGATATTTTTTTCTTAAAATTAGAGCCAAAATACAAAAATTTAAATTTTAAATTTTAAATTACTTGGATAAAAATACAGAAGATTGTTCAATTTTACCTAAAAATTCTTGGGTACTTTTTCCGAAAAAATTATATAAAATGCCAAGCAGTTTTTATTTTTACCCAAAATTTTTTAGGTATTTCTTCCAAAATGTTTGAGTAAAGTTACCAAAAATCTAGTGTATTTTTTCCTAAAAATTTATGGGTATTTCTACACATAAATTAGGGTAAAAATACAAATGCTTGTGTAATTATACCTAAAAATTCTTGGGTATTTTTTCCGAAAAAAGTATATAAAAATGCCAAAAAGTTTGTATTTTTACCCAAAAATTTTTAGGTATTTCTTCCAAAATGTTTGAGTAAAGTTACCAAAAATCTAGTGTATTTTTTCCTAAAAATTTATGGGTATTTCTACACATAAATTTGGGTAAAAATACAAATGCTTGTGTAATTATACCTAAAAATTCTTGGGTATTTTTTCCGAAAAAAGTATATAAAAATGCCAAAAAGTTTGTATTTTTACCCAAAAATTTTTAGGTATTTCTTCCAAAACGATTGGGTAAAAATACCAAAAATATTGTGCATTTTTACCTACAAATGTTTGTATTTTTACCCAAATTTATGTGTAGAAATACCCATAAATTTTTAGGAAAAAATACACTAGATTTTTGGTAACTTTACTCAAACATTTTGGAAGAAATACCTAAAAATTTTTGGGTAAAAATACAAACTTTTTGGCATTTTTATATACTTTTTTCGGAAAAAATACCCAAGAATTTTTAGGTAAAATTGAACAATCTTCTGTATTTTTATCCAAGTAATTTAAAATTTAAAATTTAAATTTTTGTATTTTGACTCTAATTTTAAGAAAAAAATATCGAACAACTTGTTTTATATTATTACCAGAAATACCACAAAATCTATAAATTTTACATTTTTTATTAACACCTTCAGAAGTACAATTTATTATACTAACTTATTAATATTTCATAATTATCGATAATATTATTAATTAAGGTGCCCGACTTTTTAGAAGTTTTAATACTTTTATGCCCCTCCACAGGATTAACATCCAGCAACATCCTATAAAAGACAAATAAAAACTGTTATTAAATTGAACTTCAATCAAATAATAAAATAAATTTAGAAAAATAAAATAAATAATTTACCGTTGAATAAAATCAAAAGAAGCAGCCTTTTTTGTTGGATAGTTATAGCCATATACGTAATAAGTAAGAAGCAGCAATAAGACACCCTTTAATACGTCATTAGATTTTAAGACAATATTTTCCTCAACGACTATATAGCATTTGCATACTTCATCATATAAGAAGGATCCTGAAAAATAAGCAATAATCCATTATATTAAAGTTAACTAAAAATTAAATTTTATATTTTGTAATGATAAGTTAATGTTACTGAATCAAATATACCTGTAATAATTAATGATGGCCATGTAGAATCTTTAGCAGCATGTTTTATTTCTTCTTTTGTTGCTTTACTTTTAAAGGTAAACAATCCTTTAAAAACGACTGAAAGGATTTGTTAATCGAACTGAAGGAAGCAGAAAAATTGTCAAATCCAGTAAGCGGCGACGTCGAGAGCATTTCAGGAAAAACTCAAAGTGATTCCCTACCAAAAAAATAATGACAAAACATTAGAAAAATAATCAGAATTTCTGGTGTTTTTGAGCAGTTTTTCTTACAATTGCAGCTCAAAAACATGAAAAAGAAATAAAACCCTTCAAAATACTGCCAAGAATCATGAAAACATTTATGACTGCCACCGAATTTTTTTATAGCATAGAAAAAATCTTTTTTCGGGATGTATTCTTGTTCCTTTATGTAAAAAGGTCGTCACGCCTTTTATAACATATCAGTTATAGTTCACGAGATAGCTTATAATTTCTTCAAAATAAAGGTTTTGAGAATAAATTTTAGATATTTAGAAACATGAAATATCACAGATTCTAAATTTTTAAATTATAAACTTCCAATAGTTAAATTGATCAAGTTTCAAGTAATAAAATTTTTGTTTAAACAATCATAAACCTTCTGAACAATGCCTTTTTTGGTCGCTCGACTCAACTCAGTCATAATGAGCAATTCGCTACGCACCTTTCTTTAACAATAGATTTCCGAGTCTATTGTGATGATTTTAAAACAAGAATTTTATAACTTAAAACTTCTGCATTTTAACTAATGCAACTTTGTAACATAAAAATTTATTATCTATTGCATTTTATTCTACGATTTCAAATATCTAAAATTTATTTTAAAACTCTTTTTTTTAATTATCACCCAAACCTTATAATTTATTTTAACAAATGTTTTTTAAAATAAATTTTAGATATTTGGAATCGTAAAATATCATAGATTTTAAATTTTTATGTTACAAAGTTGAATTAGTTAAAATGCAGAATTTTAAAGTTATAAAATTCTTGTTTTAAAATCATCATAATAGATTCGGAAAATCTATTGTTAAAGGAAGGTGCGTAGCGAATTGCTCATTGTGACTGAGTTGAGTCGAGCGACCAAAAAAGGCTTTGTTCTGAAGGTTTATGATTGTTTAAACAAAAATTTTATTACTTTTGAAACTTGATCAATTTAACTAATGAAAGTTTATAATTTAAAAATTTAAAATCTGTGATATTTCATGATTCCAAATATCTAAAATTTATTCTAAGAAACTTCATTTTGAAGAAATTAAAAGATACGCTTCAAGTATGGCCAGCGTGGTTTGTGAAGTGAAGTGAGAAGGTCATAGAGTTCTCACAAAACATCAAATCCATATTAAAAATCCTGTCAGAAATAATCAGAACAATGACAAATCATCAGAGTGACGAAAAAGCATCAGAAAATCTGACAAATATTCAGAATTCTGATGTTTTGTCATGATTCCTCATTATTTTTTTAGTAGGGTTCCTTGGCCGCGGAATCAACTTGCGAAAAACCCGATGGACCAGAGGAACAAATTTTGTCAGAGACTGACGTAATGTCAGATATTAATAGTTATATCAATGGAGTGACCAAAACTTCAGGTGATTAATATAAAACGATTGGTTTATGACCATTATAATTGTTTATTTATTTTTAACGATTTGATTAACAAAAAATAACGACAGGATGACTTTTATGACAGTATATATAAATAACGATTTGTTTGACGATATGTAACGACAGTACGACCGTGTTGTCGACAACACAATAAAATGCCAGTTTTAACTAATTCTAAATCTTTATCTGATAGGTGTGTCATCAGTCGTTCAACAAAACGGTCCTGAATCCAACAACGAAGCAGTCTCAGCCAGTTCTAAAGCAGAGAAACAGAACATTTCTCTTGGTCCAGTAAACTCTGACAAACCCTCTAATGACATTTCTTCTCACGAAGTTAAAAACGACGCGCCCAGTAAAAAAGGATTTTTTAATATAGCATTTTGGACGATTGAGCAAGCCGTCTGCTCAATTGTCCAAACGGCATTTGGACAATTGGACTGGTTGCTAAATTATCCGATGCATTAGGTCCAATCATCCCAAATGTTTTTCGTGACTAAAAAACTGCTAAATTAAGAAAAAAGTACTGAAATGTTACAGAAACTTTAGAGAATTCTTAATTCTAGACAAATACAGAAAAATTATGTATAGAAATACCTCGAGTGAGGAAAAAGAACAAGATTTCTAAAATATCACTTTTTAACTGACAGTGCAATGCTGTACTTGGAATGTAGTTGGTAAAGAAGTGAGGATTCTGATAAAGAGATACACTTCACTATCCACTCTCAATACTCTTCATATGGTAATATATAATTGTAGATTTCGGTTTCTCATTTTAAAAAAGAGATAATTCATCAAAATAAAATATTATTGTTAATACACTATTATTGAAAATCTACAATTATATATTACCACATGAGGAGTATTAAGAGTGGATAATGAAGTGTTTCTCTTTATCAGAATCCTCACTTCTTTACCAAATAAATTCCAAGTACAGCATTGCACTGTCAGTTAAAAAGTGATATTTTAGAAATCTTGTTCTTCTTCCTCACTCGAGGTATTTTTATACCTAATTTTTCTGTATTTGTCTGGAATAAAGAATTCTCTAAAGTTTCTGCAACATTTCAGTACTTTTTTTCTTAATTCAGCAGTTTTTTAGCCGCGAAAAACATTTGGGATGATTGGACCTAATGCATCGGATAATTGAGCAACCAGTCCAATCGTCCAAATGCCGTTTGGACAATTGAGCAGACGGCTTGCTCAATCGTCCAAAATGCTATGTTAAAAAATCCTTTTTTACTGAGCGAATAACGACAAGCTTACAGACGAGACAAAAAACGACAGTACTAACAAACGACCGCTTATAAATAACGACAGTAACTTTGATAAAATTAACAAAATTTGTGGTAACAAGGAAAATAACGACAGTCTTGAAAATAATAACGACAGTTCGATACTTTCTCACGAAGAAGGTGCAGTTACTAACACCTCTGGCACAAAACGACAGTTGAATAACGACAGTACTTTAGACACGAGACCATCCGAGTTAGTTGAGAAACGCATCGATGCCAAGATTGTCCAACTAGACAAAATCATGGAAGTAACACTCGCGTTACACAACAAAATGCAAACAAGCATGAAAATG